TATGGAGCTGATAAGACAGATAGGAACGGGTACATTGTACATAAATAACACCATTGAAAAATGGTTTTTATTTCTTACTTTCCAGCTAGAGAAAGTATTCCATTTTTAAAATAGTGGGTGTACACAGTAAAAAATCAAAAACTGTGGTGACAGAAGAAAAAGCGGAAGATGATGAAACTTGTACATGCTGGAAGGAGGTAAACTCTTTTTATACTTGTAATAATTACACAGTAGAACAATTTTTTTAATTTTCCAGTTAAAGTTCATATTGCACATAAACTGTAGATTCTTTTGCATGTTTGTGTTTCACTCATAATTAAGTTGTTTCACAATTATATAATTAATTAATTCTTATTTTGTTAATTGCATTATACTATGTAGGTATTATTCAATGCGTTGTCCTATAAATGGTGTATACTGTTTGGAAATAAATGCTATTACTATTATTATTATTATTATTATTAAAAAGGGGTATAGTTTCCTCAAACCTATAAGGCGTTTATGGCTTTGACGTTTAAAGTACTTTACAGCCGACCCTTCATAAAGCTTAGTAAATGTAAACCATGCCACGTGCCAGGGACGGCCGAGACGCGAAGGACCGAACTAAGAGTAATTTTGTTTTTAACGTTTCTTCCGTACCTTAATTATTTAATCATTATTCTGCACATTTGAAAATATTATTAAGATACTGAAAGCAAAAAACATAAAATTTGTAATAAGTAAAACTGGTCCACTAAGTTTTTTGATAAATCAAATAATTTTGACGATGTCACCGTCCTTTGTTTCAAATCCAGAGGGTACATTCATATTGCTGTTATATTAAAAATAATACATGACTAGAGAACGAAAAGTATGCAAATATGCTGTAACTTTATTAATATATGCAGAGATATGCAGTTGCATATCCTCCAAAAGTTTAAAAAGAAGTGTAATAACTAGGGATGTACCGACCAGTGGCCGACTATTCGGCCGTTTTTCATCGTCGGCTGCAGTCGGCGACTAGTCGGCTAAACAGACGATCGGTCGGCTTTTTTTATTAAAATTAAAACAGTATATAAAACAATTAAACCCGGTTTACAGAACCTCAATTATTGAATTTAAATTGTGTTATTCTTTATTTTTGTACTGAGTTACTAAAAAAATTAAATGTTAAAATTATCCAAACAAATTTAACACATTTTTTGGAAAACAAAGGAACTTTAGTGATTTCTTTTATTAAAATAGAACAAACCTTTAAGGTAGCCAGAGAAATAGAAAAAAAAAACACACTGTCGCATTTATAAACCGGTTTTAGCAAAGCCGACTAGTCGGTTTTTACTGGCCGAACAATCGGCTAGTCGGTTAGTCGGCCAGACCTACAGTCGGTACATCTCTAGTAATAACACAACTAAATTTATTTACAAATCATAAAAACAGGTTTATCAAGCTTTTTTTTTTAATAAAAAATACATAGATAAATAAAATTTTTAAAAATTATTGTCTTACACTAAATAGTGACAAATAAATAAAAATTAATCATAATAGGCCATTTAATTAGTATTTTTGTAGCAATTTATTTTTAAATACTTTTCGAAAAATTGTAGCAAAAAATTTTGCCGATGATCCGAAAACATATATTTGTAAATAGAAATGCGGTTTATAGCAGAAACTACAAAACACAGTGCCTTCTTGAAGAATAAATTCAGGAAAAACCAGTACAGGGCACGGTTGATAAAACCGTTAATTGTTAATTTAGAAGAGTCGAGTGATGATGACAGTGACTCTTTTGATCAATAAATAAGCAGTAGTAGTTAATAAGTAAATAGTTGTGTATGTCAAAATTCTAACTAATTTGCTGTAATAAAAAATGATTGAGTACAAAGTTACTTTGTTTTTACTTAAAATAAAAAAATCGAAAAGCGCAGTTGTCAGTAAATGCAAAACTCAGTCCTGCCCTGTGCTTTTACCAGAAAAGGTCTTTTCAGGTAGGTATCGGTGAGCGGGTTTAAGACATCCGGTCGTGACGGCCTATTGAATTATAATGGGAGTCAAATTGGTGTGAAGTCATAAACGCCTTATATGTTTGAGGGAACTCTACTATTGCATAATGGGAATAAATATCTAGTACTGCCGACTACATACTCCATACAAACTGCAGAAACATATGAGAATATTCAACACTTGTTAAACTGTATTAACGATAAAAAAAATTGAGTGTAATTTGAAAGGCGATTTAAAAATTGTAGCTTTAATAACTGGCTTCCAATCTAGATATACCAATCATATGTGCTTCTTATGTAAGTGAAATACAAGAGAGAAAGCATTTCAACATCTGAAAACAATATTTCCTAAGCTTTCTGCTGCTAACATAAACCAAGGTAAAAACTAAAAGATTACAGTGAATTTCAGTTTTCATATTAGTATCAAATGTTCTACGCCTATTTGAATGATACGGAAAAATTTACTTGGGAATCAATTAGCTTAGTGATCAGTGAATTTTTAGGAAACAAACGTTTTCTTTACTGATAATCTTTTCATCGAGAAATCAAGAAAGTCGAAGAAAGATTTAAGAGAAAGACGCAAGTATTCATTCTTTCCGAATACATGAGGCTTTTATAAAGAGTTAGATCCTTCTACATATTCTAGACCGCTTAAATATTCGTAGACGTAATTAAATATCTGTCGACAGAAATCTGTGGAACATTTTTTTAGTGCTTAGTACGCGTTTTTCTATGTAAAATTAGAATTCATTTAATTTTTTCTAATTGTTCACCGGACGAACATAAAAATTTGTTTTTTTTTTTTGACGACATGGGTATATTATCTCTTTTAAGAGTTGTTCAGCACAAAATTACCTTTCCGACCATGTTGAGAATATATATGTAACAAAAACACTGTTCTACTGTGTTATTAATACAGAGAGATTGAAAAAGAAATTAGTCAAAGTTTGCCATGCACGAAAAGCCGTTTGTCTTAGTTTAAAATAGTTTTTTATTAAACGTCACGTTGACAAAAGTAATTTGCATTGTTATCAAAGAAAATTAAAGCTTTTTTGTTAGAATCTTAGTTCAGAAATGAGACAAAATTGGAAAATGGTGATTTTGACTCATTTTTATGTATTTTAAAAGCAGGTGTCATAATTAGAGAGCGGATTTCTGTCGGACTAGGCAAGGCCAAACTCGGTACGGCTCGTACGGGATGGGAATTCATTGCAGTTACGGGCTGCACTTCGTTTATTTGAGATTAGAATAACGCTGCTTCGTTGCACTCTGCTGTTAATTCCCGTTCTCATTTACTTAACCGTTTGAATAATAAATCGTTAATTGTATTTATGGAATAAGTGACGATTAAATTCAATGATTTTATCTATCACCCGCTACTGAGTCCCGGCGATCCAGCGCGTCCCCACCTATAATCGTGACGTAGCCCCACAGAAATCCGCTGTCTCGTCATAATTCTAATTTTAAACTGTCAATTTGACATTTGATAAAAAAGTTTAAATTACGACAAACCGCTTGTCGTGCATGGCCAACTTTGACTAATTTCTTTTTCGATCTCGCGGTAGCGGTTAAACATTTTAGATTTATTTGATCATAGACCTGTTCATGAAAAATAAAATAAGTTTATATCACCAGATACTCAACTGCAGATAGTTCGGATAAACGTATTATTAGTAAACAGTCCTATCATGAGGATTATCTTGTTGAAAAGTAGCAATGAACAATTGTTGCAACCCTTTGTACCTTACAATTACTTACTTATATCTTCTGTTCTTATTTATTTGTATTAGTTTAAAGTTAGTCAACTGGTCAAGCGTTTTGAAAATACAAATTAATTGCAAGATTTTTGGCTTCTTCACCCAATGGAATTATTGGGAGCAATGCAATAATTGAAGTAAAAAATTCAGCCCGCGATTATAGTGTGAAACAGGCTGTTATAAAAAAAATTCTTACTGCAAAATAGATAAATTTAACAAAATCAAATTAAAAACAAACCGCAAGTAATATTTTTAAGTACAAGGTCAGTTTGCACACAACTGGACGAAATATATGCTATTTTGTATAATTTTGGAAATTTCATTCTACCCTATTAAATTTTATTGACAATAACGAGACGGACAGTAGTACAATGGTAAGAACTATTTACGGCTAACACCAGTACACACGAATATTTAGCAGGTTGTTGTACTCATAAAACTACGGTGATTTTCGTTCGTGAGTAACGATGATCTCTCTCCGGATTATTCTGCTTTTTAACATCTGGGGATTACCGGCACGCGACAACTGTAAGTTGTAAATATCTCTTACTATTGTACTACTGTCCGTCTCATTATTGCGAAATTCCGCACAGACAAAATTCTGGGAAATCTTATCTTGAAATTTACTTACAAACCCTTCCACTGAACATAATCCACAAGCGAAAAGATGCAGGTAGAAGCATAAAGTATAGAGGGTTGCAGAATCTATAGTACAAATTAGTAACACTCGAGTGCATTTCCGATCTCACTGCCAAGGCACCTGAATAGACCAATTGCATTAATTGGAACAATTTTTAATATTATTTCTTAATTTAACAATACGTATGCGTCGAGTATAAACACAATAAAAGAAACAGGAGACATTTCGTTTTAACTAAAGAAAATAAATTAGTCATCTTATGCTATGTGTTCATTAAGAATGTCCATCAAATATTTTGGAATTCCTTCTTCTTCAATGCGCAAAGTTTTAAAAGAATTTCATTTCTAATACTTTGCAATAACTTAAGGACTAAATATGTGATATGTTAAGAGTTAAAAATCACTCGGCATGTCTTTTGTGTCATATTTTTTTGTTATTTCTTTTCTGTGGGTCTAAATTCTTTCAGTTACAAATTCTATATGTTCACCAGAGACTAACTAACACTTCACAATCGTCACTAACCCTGCTACGGTGTCGAGTTCGTTAATGTAATCTTCTGTTTTATTGATGCTATTTCAAAGGTGACCCTATAAAAACGTGCACTCATTTAAATGAAAAACTTACTGTTCGGATGCCAGATTTCTGTCACGAATTTCATTTTGGGCGGCCTTAGTGGATACTCTTTTGGAAAATACAAGTGACATTTGAAGAAGCCTCCTTCGCTGTAAAAAATGCAACTGTGAAAGTGAGATGGCACAAAACATATTTGCTAGAATAAAAAATGAAACTTACAATCTTCCATTTTTTGACCCAAAACCCCAGAAAACATTAATTTCAAACTGCAATAACTCAACGATTATAAATTACTGTATATGAAGACAACACATACATACCACACTAAATTTAGTTATATGCAGGTGTTTCATCTTAAGAAAATCACTTCATACTACATCACTTGTGCGGGTTACAAATAATTATATAATGAAGAATCTGTAAAATTAATTTCTTTTTAAGGATATCACAAAATTTACCGTAACACCTCAAGGGGAATGAATCTTGATGAATTTTTAAATGAAACTACACCCTTATTATTTTATCACTTTTTGAAACATGATTATTTCCACATACAACATGAAAATTATGTCACAAACAATTTTTCAACAATAATCATTCAACAAGAAATATATTAAAATTGTAACTTCGCCGCCTCCCAGACGTCAATTTATATGGTTATTAAGTAACAAACATCGTTTTAGCCTTTAGGTTATATTATATTATTTTTGTCACAGTAAAAAAAAAACGTGTAGTTCAATTTAAAAAAAATATATCTTGGTATTCGACGAAACCAGATATGCAACGATCAAATTCTTTTTGCTAATTTCATTTCGTAAACAGGTTGCAGCTGTGAAGCAATTTTGTCGAAACAATTGAGATGAAACACTATACATATGTGGCAGTGTATAATAAGAATCATTTTTTAAACATCTTAAACTTTTCATAAACACATCTATTTGTCAGAATATTTAAAAAATAATTAAGATTATTGTAACAATTAAATTAAATTGTTAGAGCCACGCCTGATTCAAAAAGATCTTAAATTGTTGGTTTTAACCCAAAATTAATTACGATCGCATTATTTTTAAAATTGGAATGGCAAACTATATACAGAACTATAGTTACTCTATGTCGTTACTCTATTATAAAAATAAGCGTTGTGTCCTTGCAATAATTAATAAATAATTCAGCGGTTGCTAATTCAAGCACATCATTATTCTAAATAATGCCTTAGATGCATTTTTTATTATTGAAATAAATACATGAATGTCACAATAACACAGCGCTGGAACAAGCTGGTCATAAAAGCAATAGAGATTTAATAGTTGATACAAATAGTAAAAGGACTGACAAGATCTTTGTTAAGAGGTGTCGCTACCTGGCTCTTAAGTATATGACTGACAATACATTTTTAGAATGTAATATCCCGATTAACAGAATTAATTGTTATGAAATTTTAAATAACGCGTGTTCACAACTTTCGTTATACAAAGTGTCTATAGGGCCAATTCTGAATCAAACCTGTTAAATTTAAAGGGTGTTAAATTGCAAATTTCCATAGTAACGAGTTAAATTCGTAAACATGATTGGCTATTTATTTTTTAACAACCTTTAAATTTTAACATGTTTGATTCAAAATTGGCCCTAATGAGTGATTCACACATAGCAATACCCCTGTAAAACTGTTAGGTTGCATTTATAGCAACATAGAAGCTACTTTCAACATTTTTATGACTTATTTAAATTTTTATTTTAAAAATAAAACCGTATGTAAAAACATCTATTTTCATACGTACTTCTAAACTACTTACAGGCAGCGAAGTAGCACTTCTCAACCTCTCAATCAATTCTCTATCCTTGACAATGTTATTTATTTGCTAATGTCAGCCTAGCAACCACAACCAGTCGACGATCTAAACGAAAAATGCCTACTGCCTGTGGTATGGCGCATGCAATACTCAAGTTTTAATTAAAAATACTAGTCAAAAAAAAATGTGTATTCACCACAGACGAGAGAGCTTCGCTGGAACCTCGGATTTACGTGCTTGGCTACTTCGTAACCTCGTACGCAAAACGTCTCGACTGACCAGCGACCGTTCACTTGTCTTTGCAATCGGCAACTTTTTTTAATTTACAAAAATAAAATTTTCCAACGAGTGCTGGATATATGGATCATTTATAGATACTCTTTATAAGCTTCTCTATTACCAACTGCTTTTACTGTACCTCATTACCAACAAAAAATTCGACATTTCCCCAACGATTTGTAGAATTTTGTAAGTTGAAAACAATGGTGAAAACCTCGTTCAGAAATTTCTATAAATAATTTAGATATTGATGTTAAAAGACACACAATGAAAAATTTCACCAAAACTTTTAACAGATAAACTATTTTTAAAAAACTACGCTTGCGTTTTATAAAAAAGGTATGGTTAAGTTGTATTTAAAATTTCGTAAAGAGTCTAATGGAGACATTGCACTCTGAATATGTCTTGAATACCGTAATAATAGCCAAAGGTAGCTAGCCACTGGCCTGATCTGTTAAGGGTCCCCATTCGTCGCCCGCAAAATCGGTTTCAGTGAGAAGAATTCTTTTTTGTAACTATGCAACCCAAAGTACCGATCCACGGCAGGTAGCGACCCAAGAGAGGAGAGATTATGATCACTGTAGGGAGTCCGTCATAAAATGCAAATCGGTAAACAACACCAGATACGCTTATTTATTTTCAAATGAAGGGTACAGGGAAATAACCATCGAAATCCATTTGTGTGTATTTTGAAAGAAATTGAGTTGAAAGTTTAAAATGCTGCGGAAAATAGATTGAGAAACCCACAAGGTTCAGTCTAACACAACTTTTTATTTTCTTTATAATGTTTTAAAAATATATAAAATAAACTGTTTATGTTCAAATGTAACAGCAAAAAAAATTGGTGGAAAGTTGTTTCGACAGAACTTCCCTCGCACCTAAAATACAATGAAACATATCCAGCATTTTCGAGTTAAATTTTTACTTTGGGTACACAATTTTGTGATGAAATCATCAACATTTTGCAAGGACACGTAAATCAATGTGGATTAGAATAAAAATAACACTTTTGAGCCATCTAGGTATATAAGCAAATCTAAAAAAATATGAATGCAATTACAATGAATTACAAGTAAAAACTCATCATATTTTGCACATTTTTAGTAGAATTTATTCAGCAAAATTTTGAGATGACGTTATAAATTTTTTAGTAGCATAATCCTGAACTTGTGGTTTATAAATATATTATTGAGATTTTTCGGCTTTTCGGTTTTTCGATTTTTCAACTTTTGATGTTTCAATTTTTCAGTATTTTAATTTTTAAGATTTTCAATTTTTCCATTCTTCAAATTTACGATTTCACCATTTTTTTATTTTTCGATTTCTCAATTGTCCGATGTTTCACTGATACGATTTCGCAATTTTTCAACTTTTCGATATTTTAATTTTTCAATTTTTAAAATTCTAGATTTTTGATTTCTCGAGTTTCGGTTCTTCTATATTGCAATTTTTCAGTTGTAGGGAGTTTAAAAATTTCGATTTTCCATTTTTTTTTAACTTTTTTATTTTCCAATTTTTCGATGTTTCGATTTTCAATGATCCGATTTTTCAATTTCTCGATTTCTAAATTTTAGTTTTTCCAATTTTAATTTTTTTTTATTTTTTCATGTTTGGACTATTTATTATTGCTAAAAATAAAAGTAAAAAATAACTACGAAAATTGTGACTAAAAATATGTAAAAATTAATAGAAAATAGAACACATTGCTGCTAAAACATAACTGTATTTTCCCAAAAAAATCTATTGTGTAAACAAAAGCATCTAAATAATAACTATTTCCCGCAGAATTTCTGGAGGCTTATAGAGTCGACATTGGCCTGAGCGCGCTCCGGTCTGTGGATCATACAAGTTCTCGGGCGACGATGTATCTAACGAGGCAGTTGAAATACCTGATATGTCACAACGCAAAAAGTATTTCTCAAAAAACTTTCAAACGTTTGATGTCTTTTTAATCGAACAAAACACAATTGGCAGAATGGTGCGCAGAAAAATCCTTTAGACTAACCGAACGTTATTTTGGTAAAATTTGCAAAATGAGAGAACAAGTAACACGGCTAATCCTACTATACTGTGAAAAACATTTTACATCCCTGCAAATCTAGTTCAGCATGTACTCTCCCAAAATCTTTGCATAGAAAATGAAGCAAGGGCAACTGAAGCATTTTGCAGTAACACCAAACTGACAATAAGACAATGCGGTTTGTACATTTTTAGCGGCATCCCCAGACGGCTTCATAAATAAAAACGCTATCGTAGAAATATATAAAATGTCCAATTTAAATAATGCTTAATTCAACGAGATGATAAATTTTGGGAAAATAATATGATAAAGCCCTAGAAAAATTTTATTTATATGCCTTACTTCCGGAGAGAGTAGATTCTCGTTATTAAACAAGTCAACCCATTAGACAAATTGTAAAGAAAAAATTGTACAATTAATTATTGCCCTTCTAATATAAACACACACAGGAATAAATAGTAATATTAGAATAGGTTTACTGGAGATATCACGTAAAAAACGTACCTATAATACTCTACCTCATAGGTGGTGCGGAAAAGAGTATCAAAAAATTAAATTTAAATAAATATGATTGTTCAGGTAAATACGTGGTTAGTGAAGTGATGAGAAACTAAATCTTGTCAGTTTTGTGTATTGATTAATATATAAAATGACAGATTAATAAAAAATATTTGAATCATTTTTTCAAAGAAAATATAATAAATAAAAATATATATAGAATATATAAAATTATAAAAATTTGCATACTTTTAAATCAAATTATGTCAGCAATGAAAGAAGTCGACTTGTAAAAGAGTTTCAACAACGTTGGTCAGCTAAGAGTATGAGTTTTATGACCAAAAGTACCTGGACTGATTACCTGAAAGGGTCGGTCGGCAAGGCTCCCTGCTGTGTAAAACTCAGCCATTTATTGAAATGGAAAACTTTGTAAATAGGGTTGCCTAGTTTCACTTTATTTTCATTAGTCAGTATTATAATTTGAAACAAAAATGACCGGGTCTTCCCCATAAAGCTCAATGTTGTCTTTGCACTGATATAAAAGTTGAAGCGAAAATGCTCT